TCCTTCAAAAGCTATATATGATATTTGTAAAATGAGACCGACCATTTTATATGCTTTTGAAACCTTGTTCGAGTTTGGGAGGATTTTCCTACAGGACTTAGTGCTCACCCCTTACAAACAAAATTCTTTTTCAGATTTTGGTTTAGAGAAGGAGTTCAGAGTTGACAAGTCGATAGCTTGGGAAGCTCAACTTGATGGGCATGTGGACCCGGAGGGGGATGTTTAGAACTGTTTTTTTTATGTCCTAGACTAGGAGGTGTATTTTGAGATAATGTTCATGTTAATATTTTTCTTATTCCACTATAAGATAATAATTAATTTTTGAGATGTAATTGCCGTAGTTAGGCATATTCTTTTGAATGCATTGATCATGGCTTAACATATTCTTTTGGATGAAGTTGTAGATATTATGGATGGTGAATGAAATTTTCTTTACTTATGGATGTTATTAGTTGCTCTCATGATGTAAATGATTTTTAAATAGTAATGTTGTCCAAGGGGGAATTTGGGGCGTTACAAAAACATAATAATTTAGCTAAAAAATATAAAATATGTCTAAAATGCATACTGATATTCAATCATAACCATCTACAAGCTACAAAGAGACATATAATTTGCCAAAAAAAAAATTAAAAAATAAAAGATGTAGTCTAATATAAAAATGATACTAATAGAATCTAGTTTGTCATCTCACCCCAAATAAAAAAATATTCTAATTTAATTAATAATTAAATTAACAGAATAACTGTATGGTTCACAATTTTTTACAAAAATCAGCCAATTTTTTAATTTTTAGCCAGTTCTCTTTCTTATACGGTCCAACTAGGGAACCAGACTAGTTAAAGTCCCGATTCACGGTTGAAACTGGTTTGACCAGCCGGTCCGGTCCGGTCCCATTCTGATAACACTGCATGAGAGAAGAGAGGGAGGGAGAAGATAGAGAGAAGAAGAAGTGGGAGGCAGTGATCTGGGAAAGTGGGCTCGACAAGCAACATGATCTTTAGATGAGTTTATTTGACACTGTACGATGAACTTGTTGAAGTTGTTCTATTTTATATTATAGATAATAATTTTAAACTAATAAAAAATCTTTTTCAAGAACAACAAACAAATACAAAAGACCAAGAAGTGGTATTTATAGCAAAATTGAATGAAAGTTGCAACCTTCATTGGCTTAATTTGGGTGAAGCTCCGCAATCATGATATTCATCAAACACCCAAATGGGAAAAAACAATTCAATGGATTGAGAATGATTAGTACCATTATTAGCTTTAATTTCATTTCAATAAAATTAAAGTCAAATTGATTCATGAATGTTGTGTTACAAAGCAAGGTTCTAACCAAGTTAAAGTAAAGAATGATTATTGTGTGCTTGGCTTCCAATCAATTGAGCAATTAAGTTTGTCAAATCCTCTTTGCTAAGCTGCATATCAGCATATGTTCACAAGAAAAAAATAGCTATAGAAAGATTGATTTCAGGAAAATGAATGGTAACTAAAAAAACAAATGAGAGAGAAAAATAAACAAATGAAGTGCTTTGGCAGAAATTGAGCAAAAACTCTCTAAGAACTTTTGACAAACATGTGGTTTCTATAGTTGGTGGTGGAGGTGCTAGGTGGACATGTGTGTGGGTTTGAAACGAGAGAGAGAAAAAAGTAGAGATCTGGGTCATGGTCGTGAGTGGTGTGGAGTTAGTTTGTTGGTGGTGGTTGTGTTGTAGAGATAATGATAAGAACAGAGAAGAGAGAGCACATAAGTTTGTGGGACTAATTCATGCGTTTAAGAAAGAGATTTGTGAAATTTAAAAATTTTTGAGAGATGGGTTTGACAGAAATTGAAATAGAGAGCCTGGGAGTGGTCCGCGGGGAGGGGAGGGGGAGTTGTCTTGTACACAGAGAGGGGAGGATAGGTAGATGGGGTGTGTTTGTGTGTCTGAAAATAGAGGGTTTGGGGAGAATGTTCACAGAGATGGAGAGAAAGGGAGGGTAGGAGAAAATAGGAGGTTCGCATGTTGGAGGGATTACCTGAGATGGTGGTTTGGCACTGGTAGTGGTGCCAGGGGCGGCCCAACCCAACTAGTGCCCTAGGCAAAAATGTTATGCCGGGCCCTAGTAATATTTATTCAATAATAATATTAGTATTAAATAGTTATCAAAATATTAAAATATATTTATTTAAAAATTATTTGTTTTGTCTTCTTTTTTTTTTTTTTGTGATACAACATACTAATTAAAATTTAAATTTTGCAAATAAAAATTGTGCTAACCATAGTCAAATTCAGAGATCAAATGCAAATGGTAAATGCTATTTGTTTAAGATAAAGAAAACCATAGTTGAAAATTAGTTTAACTGGTAAGACAACTATGGTTGATTAATTTCAACTAGTGTATTACTTCTACTAATTCTATTTTATAGTTATTCTATTCATTATAAACAAATTGATAAAAAAATAGCCTTAATTTTAAGTTATAGAAATATAAAATCATTATTCATAACTATTATACGATAGACAATTTATTTTAATAATAAGATTGCAAAGTGATAATACATATAATATAAACATCGGGTGAGATAAGAAAATAATGTTGAACTCTAGGGCCTTAATTTTTTTTGAAAGATGTTCTAAAATTTTTATGATAATACTATTTGTACTTGATTTGAGGTCTAAATACATTAGATAAATAATGTATTTTATTTAAAGTTAGCACTCCCAGTTAATTCAATTGTTAAACTGTATTGAGTATTTAAATTATATCCCAACATCTAAATTGTATATCATTATATAAAATTTTATTTTGGAGCCCCAAATTTTTCTTCCAATTTGGGGGCCCTAGGCAATGACTTTAGTGGCCTATAGGTTGGGGCAGCCCTGAGTGGTGCTGGTATGCAGTCCCCGTGGTGCTAGCAGTGGAAGTGGCGCTGTGGTGAGAGAAGCGGCTATCAAACTAGTGAGGGAGGGAGAAGTCATGAAGCAAGGGGAGAGAGAGATACAACGACCTTGAAAGGGTTTCTTTTTTTTTTTTCAAGTCTTCATCAACGGCAGGGGGATGGGACAGAAAGGGGAAGGGTAGGGAATTTCGTAGATCATTTGAATTTTTGAGTGATAACTTCTTAACCGTTGGATAAATAAATTTGAGATCATACAATGAGTTTTGGAAGCCGCCTTGTTTTATATTTGCTATATATATATATATATATATATATATATATATTCACACATTACGTAATTCAAACATCTTGGATATTAAACATATTATTAGACATGATCAATATTATATTCATTTGATTAATTTTTCACACAATGAATTTATTTTTGAAGTCTATTTGTTTAATTAAATTTTTTAAAAATAATTTCAATATTAATTCATCGACCACAACAAATCATGGCTAACGTTCTAATTAACGTATTTGTGACTAATTTCATATGGGTCGCTACAAAAATAGAAAACTAAAAGTTTTTTTTTTTTTTTTTGGCTTAATTGACTTTTATTAGTAGGATAAATATCAAAAAATTTAATGTTTAAAAGTTAAGTTAGAATTTCAAAACTCTAAATTATATTTTAAAAAATCATAATGGATCACAAAAAATATAAATTTTAAATATCGAGTTACACTTTTTACTATTATTTTTGTATAAATATCAATATCTATGAAAAATTTTAATTGACTACGTTACCCTTAAAAACATATATACATCATTATAGTTTTCTATAACAAGTTCAAAAAGTCCATCAATAGATAATTACTCTTTTTAAATATAAAAATAATATTATGCTTATGTATATATATACTACTAATAATCTATCTATACTACTAATAAAAGTACCTTAGTATGAAATTTTTTGATTCACTATTTACTCTTATAAATAATTTTAAATACCACACTATCATTCTATAGTTGAATATTTAAATTTTCATCATATACTTATGTGTTTAAATTTTCAAACTACCTTTAACATCTCTTTTAATTCTCTATTCACTATGTTATCATCATATTTGAAATAAGTAATGTTAGATTGATGAAATTTTTGAATATTTTTTGAACTTTTTATTGAAAATTATAGTGATGCATATATTTTTTAAGGTTAACATTGTCAATTAAAAAGATTATTTTTTTCATCCAAAATTTCAACAATTTCATTTTGAAGATAAAAATAATCTTTTACGTTGTTTTTTTAAAATAATTTATGTTAAATCAACATAATTCTTCAATCACAGTAAACTTTTCATATTTTATTAAGATGTTTATATAAAAAAATAATAGTGTACTTTTAAGTAAAATTTGATATTCTTTTAAAATATATATTATAGAGTAGTTTATTATAATTTAGGGTTAATAATATTTTTAGTCTGTGAAATATGTATGTATTGTCAGTTTGGTCTTGTATCAATTTTGTCAATTTAATCTCTAAAGTATTTAGTTAGTGTTTAAATGATTCATATATAGACAATTTATTAAGTTTTTGAGATAAGTAATCACGTGTTGATTACATGATACTGTCTGACGGAATGACATGTGGTCACTTCTGTTAAAATACTTAATGAACCATTTGGATAAAGACCATTTAAATAATAATTGAATATTCTATGGACCAAATTAACAAAATTCATATATTGAGGATGAAACTGACAAAAAGTGCATACTTTAAAGACTCAAAATGTTATTAACCCTCTATTTTATCCTTATTGACCTAACTAATTTCTAATTATAGTAAGCATTGATTAGAATATTGACAATTATTGTTATTTTATTCAATAAATTATAAGTTGGAATCCAATTAAATTTCAAATGAATTATTTTTTCATTCACTACTACTTTCTTCTTGTCAATTTCAATTTTTGGGGATGATCAAATTTCAATTTCTAGGGATGATCAAATTTCAAATTTCAATTTCTGGGGATGATCAAATTTCAATTTCTTCTCCCCTATCTTTTTCAATTTCAACTAAGCTTGGCACAACCAAATAAGAAACTGCTTTCAATCACAGTTGTGGATCAGAAGAGAGTGACTTGCATGACGCATCTATATCTGGGGATGATCGGGTAGAACTCAGGGTTGTCAGGTGTCAATTGGGGAATGATCGATTAGGTGTTTGGGGTGCAATAAAGATAGCATACAATACGTTTCGCCGTGCCAGCTATGAGGCTATATTTTCGTTAAGTCAGGCACTTGGGATAATTGTGCCGTCGGGTTGGAAGACCATCATCAGACCGAGATATTGTTCTCTCTTTGTCTGAAAGCCCATATGCCTAATTCCTAAAAGAATGGAATGGTATTTGCTAGCCTTTCAACCATCTACATTTTTGTTCCCCGATCCAAGAGCCCAATCCTTTCACACCTCGAGCAAACCAAGTCACACGGTTCAGGGCCTACTCTCGCATTTCTTTAATTAGATCACTCAAGTTCGTGATATGTGGAAGGCTTTGATCTTTTCTTCTCGATTCCTATACCATATGTATCCATCCTCATCTAATGCAAATATTGTGTCCACCTTCATGAACTAGGACATGTACCAGTTTAAAGTCAAATTTCATATCCACCCAAGGACAATTATCAAGGTCTGCTTGTTATAGCGAGAGAAGACAAGGAAAAACCATCTTTAGGACTGGCATTGAATGGTACAACCCCCTCTTATAGTTAGAACAACAAATCGCTGAGAACGGACAATATTTTTTAAATTCTATAATATAATATGAGCCATAAAAATATAATTTTGATAAACTTAAGATGATATTTAATGTAGATATATATATATATATATATATATATATATATATATATATATATATATATATATATATCTAATACTTTTTATTAATTTATTTTGTATTTGAAAATTATTTTCATGCAACACACGTGGTGCATTGCTAATTTAAAAAATGTATAGTAATCGGATATTTTTAGTACCATAGACCTATATTATGGAGGTATTTTAATACCATCAAAAGATGTGTTATTATAATTTATCTCAAATGTATTATTGTATACATTTACTATTATAACCTCACAACTGATAAAATTATGTTGTTATCACGTAACAAACGCTAATTGATGATATTATTGTTAATTTAACATTAATACCATGAAATAATTCATTAACCAAACAACCGATTTGATTAAATAATTATTATCTAACACTTATGTTGTGTATTGTCAAACATTAGATAAAATTATGCATTATTCTAATACACAATTTAATCTTATCTTTTATCCATCTGTATTGTATTAGATTGGATTAATGTGACTCTCCTGTTAGCTTCCATTATTTTTATGTTAAAAGTCAACTTATTAACACTGACGGAAAAATTAATGGAAAACTAACAGAAATGCTACAGTACGATATTTTTGATAGTAAAGATATAATGTAAAGACATAAAATAAAAAATTTAAAATCTTTTAAGTGCAAAGCGAAATTCTCCCAAATAATTTCCGTCAAGACAAATTGGTAAACCTCTTACTGAAAGTCCGAAACCCAATACAGAAACAGAGAGGGCCAAAGCTCCAAACTGCTACAGGGACAGAGCAGTTCAACACCATCCAATCCTCTAAGTTCTCGTACAATTCGGTATTTCTAACTCGAAATCTATTGTATTTCACTATTAGGTTCAATGATTCATGTAATCTCCCAAAATCTGCGACGTATAAAACCTAGCACCATCAATGGCTCTTTGTTCTCAGCACCATCTTTCAGAACGTCGAATAGAGAAAATTCAACAGACCCACAATCTCTCACGCTCTCTTTCCTCTCAAATTCATGTGGGTTTTCCTCAGAATCAGCTAGTTCAACTTGTAGGAAGCTCAATATTGGAAAAAAGGAACAATCAGATTCAGTCTTGATACTTTTGAAGTCCCATGGGTTGAAAGAGACTGACATTCGATATTTGATTACTAGCCGTCCAGCGATTCTTATGGTTGATGCTAACAAAACCCTTAATCACAATATTGAGTTACTTGGTTCTTTGGGATTTTCTGGCACTAAACTTGTGAAAATTATCAACAAATTGCCAAGGATTCTGGAGACGTCAAAGGCAAAATTAGTGGTTGAATTCTTCACCGCTTATGGTTTCAGTGAAGAACAAATCACAGATATGATATTGAGGTGCCCAAAACTATTTTCCTATTGTCCATAAAAAAAGTTGAAACCCAAGTTTGAATTTCTTCAATCTTTTGGCATTTCGGATTTGGAAATTGTGAAGTTAATCTTCAAAGGGCCAACTGTGCTCAAGGCAACCTTAGAGAACCGATTAATTTCTGGTACCGTGGTCCTTAAGCGTATCGTTCTCATAGATGAGAATGTATTGAAAGCCATCAGAGCAGACATCTGTATAATCAGAGGTGATCTGAAGAATATGTTGGAACCCAATTTTCGGACTTTGATTAGCCTTGGGGTACCCAAGGCCAACATTCTGAAGTCGATCTTGTTTCGACCCAGATGGCTGTTACGAAGACCTGAGCAATTTAGCAAGATAGTTCAGGAAGTTACAATCTTAGGTTTTGATCCTAAAAAGATGAAATTTGTTCTAGCCCTCCATTCACTGTCATCCTTGAGTAGATCAAAATGTGAAGAGAAAATAAAAGTTTTTAGCAGTTTTGGTTTGTCTAGAGATGAGTTCTTTTTAGCATTTGAATTGCAATCTATTTGTATGCTCACTTCAGCCAAAAAGTTTAGGAAAATTATGAGTTTCTTTGTGCAAAAACTGAATTTTCAGCCTTCATCGATCTTCAGGCATCCAAACCTTTTTCTGCTTAGTTTGGAGAAGAGGATTATTCCAGGGTGCTCGGTCTTGCAACTTCTGATGTCCAAAGATCTGTTTGAGTGGAATAACAGCTTAATGAGGGTATTTTTAATGACAGAGAAGATTTTCTTGGAGAATTTTGTTACCAAATATCAGCACTTGGTTCCTGAAGTTGTTAAGGGACACGAATGCAAGAGAGAGTTTCAAGGGTTTAACCTAAATCAGCCGGTCAAGTTGTTTCAGAAAATGCCTACTGCTTGTATAATGTCATGTCCAAGGTCAAATGATCCTTAGCTTTAGGTTGAATTGGGGCAATTAAAATGGAGCAGGGAGTTATAAGGCCAGCTTGTCTCTGGTATCTATTTTTGCAGGAGGACACAGAGGACACAAGGGGATGGTCATGAGAATATTGCAGTGGATGTAGACTAGTTTAACTTGAGCTGAACACCACTAGCAGAAAACTTTGCGCATTCTTTTTTGGTGGAGTGGAGCACCAGCACAAGCTAACCACAATTAAGGAGAGAATTGCTTGGCATCTGGTAAGCCCATTGGATAGTTAACATCAACAAACTGACCATTTCGTCTGCTGAAGGGATTTTAAGTATGTTCTATGTCTTTAACTCTTAAGCCTTATGATTGGGTGTTTATTTAAAATTATGCAAGCATTCTCTAATCTTTGAAGATGATACTTAAAAAAGGGTTGTCTGCAGATCATGCTCTGCTACCTTGTGTGAATTGCTTAATTTTTGGACCTCAAATGGATATCAGTTTTGTCTGCTGTTATTTTTGGATACTGAAATATTAATCATGTAGTTTTTTAGTTGTCTGGTTATGCTGGTTCATGTCATATACTCTTGTCTGTGAAGACATTGGACCAATTGATAAGGTCTAGGGGCTTTTCATGTTTGTTGGTTGTGGTCTTGGGTCTTGATTTTACAGAAAAATAAGGGGAAAAAAAAAAAAAAAAAGAAAATTGCTCTACAAACTTCTACATGCTGATTCTTAAGGGCTAGACGTATTGATGTTGTGTGTTGCATTGGCACCATCTAATCAGAGGTCCACTGTATACACTACCAACTTGTTCTTAGGTTCCTCCATAAGAACACTGAGTGCCTAGTTTCGCAAAGCAGCTCTCTCCCCAGCCCACAACATAGTGTGGAATCTGGATCGTTCCATCAAGCATTGTAAATAAGTTGATTTGAAGTTTTAAAAATGACTTCCAAGAAATATACCACTGTTTACTTGGACTGGATAATCATTGCCAAGATGTTCAGTCATGCAATTTGTAATCTGAAAATATCTGATTAAGAGGTATATGAACCTAATTTTAATGTTAAGCTTGAACATTATAAGTTGTTTTTTTTTTTTTGTTGGGAGGGGAGGAAGGAAGGGGGACTTGAACCCTTGACTTCAAGAAGACAAAGTCTTCACAAGGGAAGGAGTACCATTGGATCAAATGCTAGAGCATGTGATTTCTGAAAATGTTGTATCACACTGAAGAACACTTAACCAGTTGGAAAAAAAGCAAAAAGTCCTAAAATCTTTCTGTAGTTTTTCTTTCTAACACGTTCAAAAACTAGCAAGTCTTTTCAAGAGCCTTTTTGAATGTCATTCCCTATGCAAGCTTCAAACCATAATAGCCCAAAGGTCTGCCGTGATCCTGCAAACCTATTAACCCATTATCAGGCACAAGAATCCTATCCGAGTGGCCCAGGGTGCCAATTAAGTTAAGTTATTCGAATTTGGTTTAAATAGGATTTGACTTGAGCTAGGTTCATGTTTTAATCGAGTCATGCTTGAACAATTTTTTAAACTTGTTAAGAAAATGAACTTAAAAAGCTCGGCTTGAGTTTACAAAATTTGGTTTATTTGTGTAAAATCAAGGCTGGCTCAATCTATAGGCCACTAAAGTCATTGCCTAGGGCCCCAAATTGGAAGAAAAATTTGGGGCCCCAAAATAAAATTTTATACAATGGTATACAATTTAGATGTTGGAATATAATTTAAATATTCAATATATTTTAACAATTAAATTAATTGGGAGTGCAAACTTTAAATAAAATACATTATTTATCCGATATATATAGACCTCAAATCAAGTACAAGTAGTATTATCTTAAAACTTTTAGAACTTCTTTTAAAAAAAATTAGGGTCCTAGAGTTCAACATAATTTTTTTATCTCACCCCGATGTTTATATTATACGTATTATCACTTTGCAGTTTTATTATTAAAATCAATTGTATATCGTAACTAGGTATCCATAATGATTTTATATTTCTATAACTTAAATTTAACGCTATTTTTTGATCAATTTGTTTATAATGAATAGAATAACTATAAAATAGAATGAGTACAAGTAATACACTATTTGAAACTAATCAATCATAGTTGTCTTACTAGTTAAACTAATTTTTAATTATGTTTTTCTTTTATCTTCAACAAATAGCATGTATCATTTGCATTTGATCTCCGAATTTGACTTTGGTTAACACAATTTTTATTTTCAAAGTTTAAATTTTAATTAGTATGTTGTATCTCAAAAAAAGACAAAACAAATAATTTTTAAATAAACATATTTTAATATTTTTGATAATTATTTAATACTAATATTATTATTGAATAAATATTACTAGCGCCTCACATAACATTTTTGCCTAGGCCCCTAGTTGGGTTGGGCCGCTCCTATGTAAAATAGTTGAACTACTCGAATTCAGCTCATTTTGGACTTGACTCATTTTTCAAACGATCCGAGCTTGAACAATTTTTTATACAAGCTCGACTCGATAAACAAGTCGAGCTTGAACAATTTTTTAGATTCGTTTAGAAAACGAGCTTAAAAAGTTCGGCTTGAGTTCGCAAAGTTTGACTTATTTATGTGTAAAATAATCAAACTATTCGGGTTCAGCTCGTTTTTGTCTCGACTTATTTTTTAAACGAGCCGAGGTTGAACAATTTTTTAGGCTTATTTAAAAAAAAACGAGTTCAATATACTCGACTCGATTATTAGCCCTATCGAACGCAAATGCAACTTTTTTCAGCCGGGTTTTGATCCATCAACCATCCCTTCGATTTTCAATAGAAAGATGAAAAAATTGAAAATAATTTTTTGTATTTTTTATTTTTTTGGTCTATCCTCATTGTGCGGGATGATTTTCACACAATGGATGAAAAGTGAACAGATCTCTCCCATGGTGAATTCGATCATTGATGTGACGGATCCCGCAGCAAAGAATGAGTTGAGAGGGCGAAATGACACCCCTTTTTAATAAAAATAAAAAAAAAAATAAATAAAAGGAGTGATGATGAATTGTATTAGGGGACATTCAACTGACTCTAGTGGGTCGCAAGATGCTCCTGGCGCACAAAGAAATAAGTTAGAAGAGTGCTGAAGTGTTTTCCAACGTATCCTCTCCGACGATCAAGTTAGTTATTTGAGAGAGAGAAAAAAGAAAATACTGCATAACTCTAGAGAGGTAATTTTACGTACCTTTGCAATATTTTTTTGAAAACTATTTATACTTTCAAAGACTCATTATTACTGGTAGTCTAGGCAGTAGGTAGTCTTTAGAGATGAGGCAGTGTGTCGCCTATTTTACGTAGGAAGTGTCTTAGTATTAATTGCTCGGGCCCCTAAGCAGTTAATGCTCTTTCTTCGATGTAGAGACTTTAAATGCTAGGACCCCAAGGCATTTAATGTCCCTTATCCTCAACTTCTCAAGCCACTGTGGATGTCTCATCATACGAGAATTCATTAAATGTTTGTCTGAAATAATCGTATGTCAGCAGGGGTAGTTTTGTATTTTTACCCCTCATCCTGAACTCTATGTCACAAGTCTGACTTCCCCTAGTTGAGTGTCTAGTTCGTCCTACTATTCTGACTTGATTGTGTAGAGTGCCTTCATAATTCTTAGCCTAGTTTAGGCTATTCAACTGTCAATCAATAACTTATCCAAAAGTCAAAGACTCATGGCAGGATCGGAGTTTGTGAGTTCCCTCGGGGTCGAGAACACCTAACACTTCCCTCACAGAGTGGAGGTATCCTAAGAGCCGAGGGCACACGCCTTGGCATAGAAGAACTTATTAATCAGAGTAGGGGCCTTGGTGCAGAGGACATGTGGCCTCGCCAGAGGTAGGGATGTACCCCAGCGCCGAGGACACATGTCGTCGATCTAACGCTCTTCCAGAAGTGTCCCATCAAATGCCCCCTAGCCCTTTGATCTTCGTATGGAACAGTTATGTGTCATTGGAAGACGAAAGGGTTTAACTGCCTCATGATTGCTTCAGTTGTTTCCCGCCTTTTGGAGATCGAGCGCATTAAATATGCTAGTTTTCGTGTCTCGTGCATAATAATGGGACATGCCCTATATAAACAGAGCTCAGTCGTCATTTCTACACTTTTCAAATCCTTAAGCTTCCTCAGAGACTTAATCTACCGGAGAATCGTCGGAGTTGTTGCCTGAAGAACCATGGTTGCTCTTTTTCTACCATCATCGAAGGGGAAAAAAGCTTTCTCAAGCTCTCTCACCTTCTTAGTTCATCTTCTCAGTGTTTTCTAGGGATGGTAGTGGACCGGGGAAAAATGAGTATTTGTCCAAATCTGTCCCGTTTGGACTCGAGATGGACTATACGTATTGGACGGTGGACGTATACGGGGATACCCGTATAAACCCATGCGGAGATGAAAGCAGTGATGGACTTACCCTTACCCCCGCCTCATCCCTGTCCCCGTTAAAATATATATATATATGCTCCCAGTTAAAGGCTTGAAGCCCTAACTATGTCTCTCTTCCTCCATCAGCCACCCGCATCCATCCCCTAACAATCTCTCTGTCTTCTTCCATCAGTCGCCACCTCCACTCCATCGCTCTTCCTCTATCAACGCCGACTGATCCTCAGTGAGTCACAAGTCAGCCACCAACCGCTACTCTTCCTCTATCAAAGGCTTAACGCTGACTACTACTCTTCTGTTGTGTCAGTGCCCAGCTGACTCAATCATCTCTCTCGCACACACACAACAGAGAGACACAATGACACAGACACAACAGGTGGGTTTTTTTATATGATTTCTCTAATTTGTGTCAATGCCCAGCCGACTGCTACTCTTCTGGTGTTTGTTTTTGGCCAGAACTATTTAAAATTCATGTTTGAACTTCAAAATTGGTCTCTTGAAAGGGTTTTCAGTTACTATAATGATATAACATTTTCTGTTTTAATATGTGCTAGTATTTAAGGTTCAAAACCTTGATTTATGTGACATGTTATCCATGGTGACATATTTATCAATTGAAACTTTATTCAGACATAATGTCTGCGGCTTCTTAAGAAAATTGTATGTTTATTTTAGGAAATTGCTGTCATATTCACTACTAAATTTGGGAATGGTCCTACCCTTTCCTCTCTCTCCCTCTCCCCCATCTTTCTGTGCCCCAATTTTGGGTGATTAATTTGGCACAAGCTATGATTTGCTATACTTTCAGTTCATTTTTGGAAAAATTTGGCTTGTGGTGTCATACATCAGTAATTAGAAAATTACGTCAAAGATAAATAGGATTTTGTTGTGATTTTCTTCTATCAGAGATAAATAGGGTTCTGTTTTGGCTTCCCAGGGTGAGCCAAAGGTATTGGGTTTAAGACATGCAATCAACTATCAATTTATTGGAGAGTTTGAGTATGTCGATGATCACAGGTCTGGGAAAATTGTGGTTGAACTGAATGTGAGGCTGAACAAATGTGGGGCCATCAGTCCTCGTTTTGATGTGGGTGTCAAAAAGATTGAGGGATGGACTGCAAGATTGCTACCTTCAAGACTAGTTAGCACAATTTTTTTTAA